ACGGCCAGTAATGCGGATGCGAGAAACATCGCAAATTTTCGAGACCTGCGTTCAAAATGTTCACGAATCAGTGTGACATGCAGAAGTAAAAAACAGTAAGAGACTTGCATAAACAGAAACCAAGATATTTAATACAGATTAGTGTATAAATACTGCAAAATCTCGGTCGTAAAAAGGACGTGTGACGCACTAATCGGTGTTCTTCTGAAGATATCTAATGTGTTTTGACGTAAAACGCCTCGAATAGAAAAACTACTAGGTTTTCTTGAAGTGTCCATAAAACTTCGATGAAGGACAGGCAGTTGCAACGAGGACGGCGGCGAAAATTAAGCAGACGTTTAAAATAGTGAAAAAGCGAACTTAGCAATGAGACGTTTAGATAAACATTAATACCTTGCTGATAATTAAAACTATTACGGTTAACGCCGACGATGTTACAGCTGGATGAACTCTGTTGTAGAAGCTTTACGAGTCTGTTCATATTGCTTTCCGAATCTAGAGCAGAATGCGGGACTAGAACCTACAACACAAAAAGAAGATATTTAACCAACCGTGTGGTTGTCAAGCCGGAACCTCCCCAAGCAAGACCATTAATCCACGTAATTCGCCTAAGGCACAAAATGCATGTTGGAGACACCCGATTTCAGAAACAAATCGGCAGCTCAACTTACGTCAACAGGAGTCCATACAAGCATTTTCAGCAACGTGCCATTATATCCACTCGTATCACTAAATTGGGAGACCTCCACCTCTGGCCGTCCAAGATCAATTGCAGCGATCCCAATATCTCCTGTGTTGGATCCTCGACCTTCTGTAATGGCTTTAACACGTGTACTTTTTAATCAAAAAAGACTGCAGGGACGCAACGGAAGGTCAAAACAAGCTAAAATTTCAAGGCGCTGCACAACATTTCAAGAAATTTATGTAACTAAGTAACTGCACGAAATATTCGTGGGAACAAAAAGTATTCACTGTTTATAGACCCGTGACGGAAAATATCAGAGAAGAAACGAAGTTATGGTTTGAAATCCATTTCAACGATAGATATGGTAAGCAATATTGAACTTGGATTGAATTTTATTCGTCGGACATCGCATGCGTCTCCGGTATCTAGTCTCTCTTAAAGACGAATCGAAAAAGAGATTCAGCTTATACAATCTGTGTCGCTGACATGCCTAAAGGTTTGTTAGAAAGAGTTTACTGGCGCAGGCCTTCCTATGAAAAAATACGACTTTAAATCATTGATTGTCGCCACAAACTTGGTCTGCTATACAGCAAGGTAAGTAATGAAAGCAATATATAAAAAATCTGATCTCTAGAGAACGCAGGAAATGCAGTGTTATGCGCATAAATCAAATAATTAATTATTTAATTCATGCGCATAAAAAATTGGGGACTCCAAAAAAGCGAAAGATAAAAATCAAAACACAAAAATAGGTCTTTGCAAATATTTTGTATTCTTCCAAGTTTTTACTCCAAAATAAGCCTTCAAAGGCGCTTGGGCAAAGGGAAGCCGGAGAATATAAAAAAATCGAATTTAATGTGCATCTACTAATATTTAAAAAATTTCCCTCTGCCTAGTTAAAAAACGTATTTTAAGTAAGACAAGGGTTATAGTTTAGAAAACAGGCATACATAAAATACATGTGGACTGAACAGTTGGCCTTCTGCTCGCGCGCGAGTGAGAATATTTCCACAAACACTCATTAGATTTAGTGTTGAATGTGAGACCCGGGGTCTGCTGATATCCTGTAGAAAAACTGTTCCTTTTCAAGACGTTTTTGCTTGAAGATTTATATCGATATTTGTTAAATCTACGCCTCCAATCCATAGGCGCAACGCGATAACAGCGTCAAGACTTGCTGCGCGCTTACGGAATGCCGATTAAAACGTTGCTATTCAGTGCCACAAAGTCCAATAGAAAAATTCGCCGGATTCATTTCCAGCCTGGTAAATAAACGGACGCGTTTTCCACTACAGATGCACATCAGTCGTAAACCATTCTAAAATTTGTGTCTGCGGCGGCCTGAGGAAGTACTAATTGGGAACCGTAGCGAAAGAATAAAAATTTAAAAGGCTAATAGAAAAAGCCCGTGCACTTTGTTAAGGATGCAGAATAGTAAAACGAGAGTAAAATAACGATGGCAGCGACAACAAAGGGTGTAAATGAAGATTCACGGAGCTTGCGCGATAGGTTCGTTGCGATTCTTAAAATTCTTCAGAAATTTATGTGTGGAATTTGGATGAGGTTTACGGGACATGACTAATTCGGTTGGGTGAAAATCTTTTTGCCACTTATTGAACAGAAGCATATCTATTTTGGGAGAACGACTACCTGACGCCGGGAAATTTAACCGTCTTTACACCAGAAGTCAAACTCAAATTCTGAGGCTGATTAATCTGCCAAAACCATTGTACCTACAGCAAAAGGCGGCACAAAATCTGTAAAATAAATGCTGGTAGTTTTTAATTAAAACACTTGTCTGTAAAGTGATAAGTGAGGCAACATAATTCAGACATCATAGTTCATCCACCGCAATCAAATTCGACCGTAATCCGTCCTGCGTAATGCGCAGTTGTGACCTGCGACTGAGTTTTTCATCTGAAAGAAGACTTTTCTTTTATTTCCCCAGTTTTTTCCAATCTTTCATAGTGAAATGGGACGACAAACTTTACCCTGCCAGTGCTATCCCCGCCACTCCCCGCTCGAATCTTACGGGCTTCAGGTACCAAGAGGGCTGTGCAGGACATTGGTGTGGTTTTATGCGCTCCAGTCCTCTCCGGTTCCCTCACAGCAAAAAATGCGCATCGGGATGTTTTTGCGCGCTTTTGTCCACTTTTACGATGACGATGGCTTTTGACATCTCGATTATATTGCCTTGGATATGGCACATTGCAAACCGTCATTCTCTTAGGTGACCCGGTCGTATGCACCAGAGCATAACCGTCGGGATTATTGCATGGGGCAGTTAACGCAAATTAAAGAGAAAAGATGTTTTTTGTTAATAAAGAAAATACAAAAATTCTGTGGGAAGTATGTACAGTTATGAAAGTTGTGTGTCACAATTCATTGATTGAAAAATTTCCGTTGCCCACTGCTGATTCCTAAAATCAAAAGAGGACAGTGAAAGCAATGTTTAGCACTAATTAAAAGAAAGGGGAGTTAAAATAACCTACAGAAGAGGGACCAAAGCAATAAATTAGAGCGTGATTTATAATGTACAGTAAACAAATATGAGTTGACACGTAAAATGGCAACTACATTTAGCTAATGTGATCTTATTTCCTTTAATGTTTAACTTAAAGAAAAATTATCTTCCGAGTTTAATATACTCTGCTTTTGTGCCATATTCTAACTTCAACAAGCGAAGTCAAAATAACCGCCTGTTTCGAATTTGCATTGAAATTGTCGACCTCAGTGGATTCCACTTTTATCGAGCTTTCTATCTAATTTAATTGTTTTTATTAAAGACACGTCGGGGTCCACACGGCTCGTGAGTATTAAGAATCCGATTCGTCTTTCAGAATGATCCATCCTTGCAAACCTACACCATGGCTTGTGTGGGATAACTTATCTTTGTCCAGTCGCATCTCTGCAACAGTACTGAGAAATCCCCAAAATCTACGGAAGGCTGAGTCCTTTACCTCATATCTTTGATCTGGCTGAAAATTCGTCCCATACATTTAATAAAACCGTTTGAAACTTGTATACTCAGTAAGGTTTTTCGGAGAAATGCCCTCAAAACACGATATAAAGTAGTAGTGAAAATGCGATTCCCAGGTGGCATTTCAAAAGAAGAGGCGTTCACCGGGAGGGGTTTATTTTAGGCCCGACGTTTCGAGTATTTGTTTCGTCTACCCATCTTCAGGGACTGGGAAGTCCTGCGCACAGCTCCCCTTAATTGGCGCACTTTGTTCAATACGTGGCCCGCCAATGCCGCATGTGTGGCTGCATCCAACGCGCACGTCACTGTGTCCTGAATCGCCCTCGTCGGCCTCGAAGATGACTGGCGGCCCCGATTGTCCAGCGCCGTGACTGTCCCCGGTTAAGGAGCTTCGTAAAGTCAGCTAGGGGGGAGGCAAACTGATGGGGCGTTTGACAGAGCAGTCGATGGACATCCAGGCTTCTTTAACTTGCTTTTCAGTATGATAGTCGCCCGGCTCACCATCTCAACGGCGTAGAAGATGAAGATATGTCCCATTTACGCGGCATGAGTTGCTACCTCTGACTTTGGGTCCAACCTTCGCAGGGCCAACTTATGCTCGTGCATTTGCGTTTACAGCCGTCGGCCAGTTTTCCCAACGTAGTTGCACCTTCCGCAGCTGCATAGAAATCGGTAGACGACGGCCGACATCTCCTGTTTAAGGATCGGATCTTTTGGCAGCATCACTTCCCGGCGAATGGTTGAGTCAGGCCTGTGGGCAACACCTATTCCTAATGGCACGAGGAATCTAAACACGGTTTCGTGCCACTCGGAATAGGTATTGCCCGCAGGCCTGACTCAACAATCCTAGCCGATCTCGACGGCCTCCTTTTGCTAGACCGTAATCAGATTAGTTGGCATTTGCTGAAGTTGAGGTTAAGACACCACTTATCGCACCATTGTTGCAAGCGATTCAGATTGTTCTGTAACTGTAGCAAGTCCACCGGCTTCTCTATTGATGTCCACAACTTGAGATCATCGGCAAACCTTACGCTCTCGCAGTCCAGGCAGCAGTCCAGACCGTCGTTCACATATATTAAGAAGACAATTTTACCCAGAACACTCAGCTGCGGAACGTCACTGTGGACGGATGCCATTCCGATTTATCGTTTCCGATACACACATGCTGAGATCTTCCCGTAAGAAAATCGGCTAGCCATTTCAACAGACTTCCATTACTTAAATTTAGGTAAGCCTTCTGAATTAGATTTAATAAAGCCTTCTGACATATATTTAGTTAAGTCATGCTTAAGTACAGAGGCCGAGAGCTTTGGCCGGCCTGTGACTTTTACTCTCATCTTATCTCAAAGCAAGTTGTAATCTAAAAAAACTTCTGACAGACCAGGTGACTGAATTGCAGTTAAAGGCTATTGATGTGATAAAATTACACAGGTAGAGAGAAATCGAATGCACAAAATACGAATTGCAGAGTGCGACTGGTAATCAACAAGCACAGACTAGCAAAACTCTAAAAGAAATGGCAACTGCTAGTCCTGAAAGAATAGGCCAGTATTTAAGGAAATTTAACCAAAAAAGGGCTAAAATCGTTAGGTCTCTCAGAAAAACCACTAAAAATAATATCTTCCACTTATATTCAAATTTGAAGCCAGTCTTGTGTATAGTGCCCCGATGGTATCCGTGGTAGTTATGCTTCGTATTTACTTTCCATGGACAGTAAAAGAAAATCAGAATGGGTATACGCGATGCGTATACGTGCAGTCTGCTTCGAGAGACACAATTAAACTATTAGACCTAACTGATCCACAGAATTTTAAAATTATTCCATCACCCCAAGAATTATGGTTTGGAGATATAAAAGGCATCGAAAAGATTTGGCTTTACATATCACTGATGCGAACACTGGTCGACAAGAATAAGCAGTCAAAGGACGAACGACGTACACCACGCAGCTTTCTCAGCAGATTAGTGCTCGCCGCATGTTCGGTGGGGAGACCACTCAAGTAGGCTTCAACGACAAGTCTATACGGAATTTGTTGTTTAATTTCGCCTAATCAACATATTTCTGCGACAAGGTAGGCTCGTGTACGCCGTACACTGCCTCCTTAATATTCATGAAGCATGCTTTAATTTCTTGGGGGTACACCACGTAATAGCTCCTCTCAGCTCCAACTACTGGGGGAGCTGCGTTCTGGCAAAACAGGACGGCTACATACGGTATTTACCGCAATAACCCGTACATACCGATCTATTGGCGGTTTATGCAGTTTACTGTTTGTGGGCAATATGGAAAGCATTTCGAACCCCTACTTCTTAACTTTTGACGTGCTATAGATGGCTGTACATGCATCCTATAATTTTTTTATTCAAACAGGATTCGCAAAAGCTATGTGACGCTTTTTTAAGAGGACTTCTCTGTAGTGCTTATGTGTTTGTCAGTCAGATTTCAGTGTGTCGAAGGAAAACAAGGGGTAGATAGTCATCCAAGTGTTTCTTGAAGTTCTGTAGGAGCATAACCTCCACATTTAGTTTAGGGGATTCTCGCATTATCTTGCTGCCAATTGCTGTCCAATCTCAGCAAACTTAGTAACTTCACGTCGGCGTCTTTAATTGCATTTTCCAGGTAATAGAACAATACATAGGTAAAGAGTCAGTAGTGATCAGTTCATAATTTTATATGCAATAATTTAATAATTTCGTGATATTATCTTCGACATTTCCTAGTGACAGCAAATTATGCGGGGCGAACAAGACCGCCATGCAAGTAACAGTATATAAGGGATGCCAAGCGGTACACATCTAAATTAAATTTCTAAAACGGGTGCGGTTTTTCGCTGCAAATGCAATCCTAATATCTTTATGTTGACAGTAGACGCAAACGTCCATGTGGCGAGACAGAAGGGAGCCAAAGCGATTGGTCCCAGATCGTTTAGAGTCCCAGCAAGGGGGGGGATATTTAAGGCTGCAGAAGTCATCAAAGCGCTGGAAAGTGCGACCATGATACCCCTTTATTGATACACCCAGTTTCTAGCAGACAGCGAAGACCGGTGAATCCGCCGCCATGGGCAATAGATCGCTGGGGGTTGAAAGGGTGAGATGACGTTGAAATCCGCGAACACCATTGTTCGTAAGGGGATATAGAGGAACAGGGTGAATTCCCAATGGGGTA